ACAGGATACGTAGGCGGTGGTGTGGGCGTGTCCACCTTCCACCTGACCTGTTTGGCGTGTACCGAGGCCGCACAGCCGCACAGTGACCATAAAGCAAATGTGAGGCAGCGTGGCGAAATCAGGCACTCGTCAAAATAATGAGAGTTAAGAAACAGACATTTTATCCGCTGGTTTTGGCGATTTTCAATCGAAATTTTGTTTTTTAGCATAAAACTTTCTATGTCTATTCAAGTACCCATTTCAGAGTGAATTATATTGAAAAAAAGTTGATTAAAGGCACACAAATGTAAATTGTCAATTTCTAGGGAACTCTGAGGCTTTGTAAATGTCCGAATTTTGGAGGCCATTTTATCACTAGTTTTACCTCTGAAACCAGGCGACCCCCCCCCCCCCCCCCACCTTTTAAATCGCAAATATCTGAACATGTACTCAATATAAATGGGTAATTCTTTCACTGAAAGCAAGGTAATTGATAAAGCTTTAAGGCAAGACCAATAACTCCACCTTTCCAAAATTTGACGAGCGCCTGATTTCACCACGATGCCTCACAAATAAAGGTGTGCTCGGGAGGGACGCGGAGCTAACTGCAGCAAAGTGCCACGACGAGGCAGTCAAAACAAGTATGTGTGTAAATAAAAAGTTCAAGTAGTAGTAGCAGTAAATTTTCTTCTTCTTCTTCTTCTTCTTCTTCTTCTTCTTCTTCTTCTTCTTCTTCTTCTCGTCCTCCTCGTCCTCCTCCTGGTCCTCGTCCTCCTCCTCCTCCTCCTTCTTCTTCTTCTTCGTTAATAAGGGATTAAATTTAACTAGAGACAAACATGCAAACAGACCTTCTACGAAACGAGAGAGCAGAGCAGATAGGGAAAGACAGAGAGAGAGAGAGAGAGAGAGAGAGAGAGAGAGAGAGAGAGAGAGAGAGAGAGAGAGAGAGAAAGAGAGAGAGAGGAGAGGGGAATATATATATAGATATAGATATAGATCTAGAGAGAGAGAGAGAGAGAGAGAGAGAGAGTGAGAGAGAAGTGGGTGGGAGAAAGAAGATGAGAGGAGGGAAAAGTGAGAGAGGCTGAGACAACGAAGAGGTGAAAAGGGGAGAAAACTCGGTGGGCTGTCGAGGTCTGGAGGTTAAGATGTTCGCCTCTCTTCCAATAGGTCCCGGATTCAAATCCGGACAGTGACGAAACATTTTCTTGTCTTAATAAATTATGTTCCCCTTTCACTTTCACATCCTTTCCTGCCCTCTAAAAATGTTCTGTCGTCTGCTTTCGTCTTCACTTTCTGCCCCCACCCCTCACCTTCTTTGCCCCCTTCTCTGGGCTCCTGATGCTTTCTGCAGCCTCTCTACTGCTACACCTTGGCTCCTCCTTACTGCTGTCTTTCTGCCAAACCCCTGATCTTCTGGTAGAAAAGATCTACACCTCACCTTGTCGGACAAGGACAAAAAATCTTGAAGGTCCCGTTTGCAAGTTGCGCACGTTTAAGATCCCTTGGTGGTCCAAAATCGATAGGAGTAGGTGTCAGCCGCCACCCGGACAAAATTCAAAATTTCCTACCAACTGAAAATGTTTGGTATGTCCAGCGCGCTCATATGACCTTATGCAGTTGCGAGCGCTGTAAAACACTTACCCAAATAAATAAATGAATAAGAAAACAAAACAACAAAAAAGAAAACTCGTGCTTATAATGTTGATTCTAGTTTTACCCACAGAACTTTCACTTGTTAAAATGTACATAATATGGCCAATTTACTTTCCCCTTTTACTCGAGAGACAAAAAACAAAACTGATTGTGAGATGGGAACATGGGGTAAAGGACAGATAGACAGACAGACAGACAGGCAGACAGGCAGACAGGCAGACAGACAGAGAGAAAAAGATTTATCAGAATGATATTTCCTTTTCCTTCAATGTTTAATTGTTTCTTAACGTTTTGTTAGGGGTGGGGGGGGGTGTTTTGTTGCGTTCTTTTTTTTTTGTTGCTTTTTTGTGGGGGGGGGGGAGGTTGTTTTTTGTGGTTGTTTCTTTGTTGGTGCCGGTGGTGGTGGTGTTGGTGGTGCTGCTGGTGCTGCTGTTGCTGGTGTTGTTGGGTGAATTTTTTGCGGAAGCGTGGTTTCGGTTTCTTGTTTTGAATGTTGGTGGTGTTTTTTCTACATTTTTTTTTTACAGACTACTTTCCCCGTCGTACACGACGCCACCTCCGGCTATAAAGCAGCTATATCAAATTAATCCGAAAGAGAATCTTGCCCAATTCTGGTTTCTCCTCCCCCCCCCTCCTAAGCACTCTGCGTTGCAGAGGAGGAGGGCGATGAACTGCACAAGGGAACCTCGCATTTCAAAAGTATTGTGGAAGTTCCCAACCGAGATGTCAGCACCAGTTCTCAGTGTGCGGTCAAGAGTACGGGCAGCCACTCCGAGCCCAAGGGAACCTGTGTGGAGCGGTCAAGGCGAGCAAGACCTGCATTCTGACCAGTACTGAGTACCCAGAGTAAGAGATGATGATGATGATGATGATGATGATGATGATGATGATGATGATGATGATGATGATGATGATGATGATGATGATGATGATGATGATGATGATGTGTTTGTTTTGTTTTTTATCATGTTCCTGAAGAAGCGCGTACGGGCAAAATGTTGAACATATTTCATAATGTCATGGAACTTCAAATGCTCAAGTCCCCATCAACTTTTTCATTATTGCCGTACTTACAACAACGATGATGATGATGAGATGATGATGATGATGATGATGATGATGATGATGATGATGATGATGATGATGA